GTAGGATACCTTAGGCCCTTTTTATAGTGAAAGTGTACCTTAGTGTCCAAGTTGGCTTGACCAATACCATTACGTTATGTGTCCTAGTTCATGTGTAGGCTTATTTTCTAGGCTAATTTACATACATGCTTTAGTGATTGCCAAAATATTGCACATATACGAAATTAAAATCTTATTTGCAATATGACCTAACTTAACATAAATATCTACATAAATGCTATAAATTAGCAACAAACCATTAACATAGCAGCCAACCCTCTCTCCCCCTTCATCTGTGGCCATTTGTGTTCTTCCAAACAACAAACTCTTTCGAGTTTCATGGCGCTGCTGTCAATACATCATCTTCCTAAATCTCCACAAAACCATAAATTGTTTTTTTCTAAATTATAAAAAATTCAAAAGCAAAAAGAGAATATGAACATGAAGCAAAAGAGAATATGAACAGAGTTCTTCCCTTCGATCAAGCAGTCCCTAATGGTCGCACGTGTATGTATAGTTGTATACATCTTTTTCTCTGTATTTTAATGTTTTTTTTTGTGTCGTTAATTTAGGTCCTTCTGTTTGTATATATGTGGTATTTTCAGCAAAGTTTGGTATATATGTAGTATATTTTCTGGTTTTATTCCGATCCGATGTTTATATATATATATGTAGATTTTTGGGGTTTATATAAGTATACCAAATATATACCGAACATATATATACCGAACATATATATACTGAATATATACCATTTTCTGGGTTTATATATGTATAACGAAAATATACCGAACATATACATAACATATACTGAAAATAATTTCAGATCTAGACGTCGAGTTTTTTATAAATGTTATTGTCGTCTTCCACCGATCAGAAAAAGAAAAAAAACAAAGAGAGGGAGAGATAGAGAGGGAGGATTTCACCAATCAGAAAAAAAAAATAACAGAGAGAGGGATAGAGAAGAATGGAGAACAAGAGATAAGAAGGAGAGAGAAAGCCTACATTTAATTACGCTAATCGGTTATAGCATACTTCAATTAATTATTTTTTATACATTTAGTAGTAATGCAATTTAATATTATGCATGTGGAATTTTGCAATAAAAAGTTATAGGGGTGGTACAGAGTGTAATTTCCTCTATTTTCTAACTAGTATTCGACATGTGCATTTGCACATATATATAAATAAAGTATTGTGAGTTATTCGTATGCATATAATGGTTAATGATTTTTTTGCCAAATTTACAGTTAAAGGAGCTGAAATATTTTTTTTTTTAAATTGTGTTTATCATATTGGATGTAATGTATATTTTGATATGTATCTTTTTTTTGTGAATTATTTATTATTTGTTTGAGAATTTCAAATACGTTTTTTATTTTCCAAAAGAAGTTAATTTAAAAAAACCACAACAATAACATCTAATCACGTTAAATAGTCAACACATTATATGGTCAATTGTAAGTAAATAAAAAATTTAAAATAATTTTTGTAATTTTGAAGTGATTAGTGTGTTGATTATCTAATAATTAAATAAGAGGTTAAATAAATAAAGAATAACGGTTTTTGGAGCGAAAAAATTATATTGTCACATATGTATAATTTAATAGGTTTTATTAAATGCTCATGAGCCAGCAATTATATATATATAGATATATTCTTTTATATCTGTTGAAATTGTCTAGTATTATATATTCCATATCAAATACTACCTCCTATTCTTTTTAAATGTCATTTTGGCATTATCAACTATTAACAAAATAAATGTCATTTTAGATATTTTGTACATATTTTTTCATTATTATCCTCATCTAGCTAATAAATGACTACGTCTTTTCATATTCACTCTTCATCTTTTTTTCTCAAAACATTCATCTCTATCCTCATTAATGAGGGTTATTATTGACAAAAAAATACTCTTAATAACTGTGCAACTTCTCAAAACGACATTTATTATGAATAGCAGGGAGTACCATTATATAATGTGTCTAGTATGATATTTTATACCATTATGTGCCATGTGTCCTAGCCGATGTGTAGCTTATTCTTCAATATATTCCTTCTTATCCATTTAAACCGGTCTAGTATGATATTCCATATCAAATAATATTAAGAATTTGAAAAGTTAAAATTATAGGGAAACAATATTTTTATTATATTTATTAATATTTATTAGATATACTAACTTTTATAAATTTTTTTTTAAAAAAAAAAAAATTAACATGCCTAAAATCCATTAGGCTAAAATAAATATAAGCTGAAAAAAAAAATAAATAAAATTAACCACAAACAAATCAAAGCTAAATAAATAGCCAAAAAAAATAAAACCAACAGAGGTCGACTCAAGTGGTAAGCAGCTTGATGTCGCTTAAGCAAGGTATTGGATTCGAGTCATTGTGAATGCAGAAAACTCTTGTTGGGAGACTCACCCACCATTGCCAGGTGTGCGACCCGGGTCGACGACCCGGGTCGACCAACGGATTAGTCGGGGCAACGCTGCGAATACCGTTGTTGGCTACCAAAAAAAAATAATAATAATAAAATAAAATAAACGCTCACCGAATAATTGACCTGGCTCAGAATTACAATGCCGTAGAAAACCGATTAAAGCCTCTCACATTCACATCCCTTTAAGAAACAAAGGATCCAAAGGCTAAGTAAGGCCCTCTCATCAACAACATGAAAGCATTACTCTCATCACTTTCTGCAATTAGAAATTAATTCCCGCAAAGAAGAAAGCCTTTTGCCTTGTTTGGAAAAACAAAGTTCCCATGGATGGAACTAAAGATGCAACAGAGAATGGGGAGTTTCAAGTGCACTGCAAAGAATGCAATGAACCAAACATGACTTTTCCCCACTATACACTATAGTTGCATTACTTCAGCTTCTCTTGTTTTTACCAGTACATGCCTTGTTTGTTCATTTCTCGGTTTTTTTTTTCACGCAAGCCGTCATCTCAATGTACCGAACGAAAATATCATATCCCAATTGAGCATTAGATTTCAATAGCGACTAACGAAAACTTAATCAGGACGAGAAAAAAACACAGCGTATAGCGATCCCACAAAGATGGAAAGACCAAATAATTAACTTGCCCTAAGGTGTTGCAAGAACTTGTTCTCTCTCTATATCTCTATCTGTAACTAACTGCAGTGCAAACACCGAGTAATTTTTTATTTTTTTTTTGGACCGTTGGATCAACACAGACACGAATCAAACAGGCGAGAAAACCTCGATGACTACACTATGCAATTGTGTAGTAGAGTCGAAGCTTTCGTGTATAACAAACAAGTAATCTCATCATATTAATAATCTCCCAACCTCAAAACCCGAACAACTTGGACGAGTTTCCCAACAAATAATCCAATGCGCTCGGCGCAAACTTCCTCGCAAACAAAAAGCACAGAGACGTGTGCCGATCATTGTGCATGCACCCCGGCCCTTCCATCATTTTACGAAAGAACCCTTTTTCGCTCACGTCCCCACTCCCAAAGGTCGCCGGGTGGGGCCCGCCCCTCGACCAATCGACCCACGTGAGGCTCCGATTCGCCAGCCGGCGGGGGGACTCGATCGTCAGCATGGTTGGGAAGTAGTGCTCGTCCACGTAGCACGCGGGCCGGCAAAATTGCTCGAATTTCGGGTAGTAGAGGGAATCTCGAA